GATTTTTAAATGGGCAGAGGACTTGAATAAACATTTTTCCAGAGATATACAAATGGCCAAGAAGTACATGAAAAGGTGTTCAGCATCACTTATCATTGGGGAAATGCAAATCAAAACCACAATGAGATATCACCTCACACTTGTTAGAATGCCATGATCAAGCAGACAAGAAATAACAAGTGTTGGCAAGGATGTGGAGAAAAGTGAACCCTTGTTCACTCTTGGTGAGAATGTATATTGGTACAGCCACAGTGGAAAGCAGTATGGAAGTTTCTCAAAAAATTGAAATAAAAATAGAACTGCCATATGATCCAGCAATCCCAGTTCTGGGTATACACCCAAAGGACATGAAATTAGGATCTCAAAGAGATATCTGTACCCCAGTGTTCATTGCAGCATTATTCACAATAGCCAAGATATGAAAACAACCTACATTTCTGTCTATGAATGAGTGGATAAAGATGATGAGAGAGAGAGAGAGAGAGAGATAGGTGATAGATAGATAGATAGATAGACAGATAGATAGGCATTGTATATGTAATGAAATATTGTTCCACCATGAGAAAGAAGAAAATCTTGCCGTTCGCAACATGGATGGACCTTGAGGACATTATGCTAAGTGAGATAAGTCAGACAGAGAAAGACAAATACTGTATGATATCACGTACATATGAAATCTAAAAAATCCGAACTCACAGAAGCAGACAGTAGATTAGTGGTTGCCAGGGGCTGGGAGGTGGGGGAAATGGGGTGACATTGGCCAAAGGGTACAAACTTCCAGTTATAAGATGAATAAGTTCTGGGAATCTAATGTTCAGCATGGTGACTATAATGAACAATGCTATATTATATACTTGAAAGTTGCTAAGAGAATAAAACTTAAATGTTTTCACCACCAAAAAAAAAAAGTTAATTATGTGAGGTGATGAAAGCGTTAACTAACCCTATTGTAATTATTTCAAAATATATACATGTATCAAACCATCACATTGTACAACTTAAACTTATATGTTACATGTCAATTTCATCTCAATAAAGTTGGGGGGAAAACATACTTTTCCTCTAGACTTCTTTCTATTTTAAGATCAGGCTTCTGCAGGACCATGCCTGTGGGCTTCCTAGAAACCCTTTCTTCTAGCTGGGAAGCTCACCTATGGCACTGCCTCACATTTTTGAACTTTTAACAAAGGGTCATAAAGCCACACCTTTAATCTGATCTATACTCACAGGCTGTTTTTCACTTTGACAATCTCTTTTTTTCACTGGATGTGAAAAAAGCTGTTCTTTCCCAACCTAGCAAGTCATAGTCTCTCTACATTTCCTTTCAATTCTTCTGGAAAGTCAGCCAGTTTCTTCTGTAGGTCAACCCTTTCTTGCTATGCTGTATCATACTCATCAGTGAGTAATCAGCATTATGCCTGGGTATCTCCTTAACCAAATACCTTCTATTTTCTGTTTCTATTTCTGGGTAATCACAGGCAACAGTTTGCCAATTATTTCACTACATCATAACGAGTCATCATTTTTTCTGTTCCAATAACAATTTCCTCACTGTTTTCCCTACGTATTTTAGCCTTTTCTTAGGGCACTACCCAACTCCTGATATCAATTTCTGGAGCAGTTATCTATTGCCACAATAATGTTGCATGGCAAATCACATCAAGCATTTATTTAGTCTATGAGCCTAAAAGTCAGCTAGTGGCTCAGATGGGGCTGACTGATCTTCCCCCCGACCCTGCCATGAGCCAACCACAGGTTGAACCTGGGCCCTGGCAATGAAAGCACTGAATCCTAACCACTGGACCACCAGGGAATTCCCAGGACTGACTAATCTTGAATGCCTTGTCTGGAGACCACTTTCCCCAGTCCCGAGTGTCTTCCACCGTCCAGCAAGCTGGTCCAGGATTGTTCTCTTGGTCGAGACAGGAGTCCAAGAGAGAACGGAAGCATGAAATGCCTCTTGAGGCCCAGTCTTGAAACTGATACACCATCATTTCTGCCACATCCTATCGGTCAAAGCAAGTCACAAGGCCAGTTCAGATTCAAGGGATGGAGAAAAGGAATCTACTTATTGATGAGAAGAGCTACAAACTATTATTACAAAGGGTGTAGAAACAGAGAGGATGGAGAATTGGGGCCACTTTTACAATTAAGCTAGCGCAGTAACAAACTTGGGAAAAGAGACAAGGCTTGTAACACCATGTTTAGACCTCAGCACAGCATTAACTATCTCAGGAGAGATAAGCAAATCTGGAAAATCCCCTTAGAGAAAGAAGCACCTATATCCACCATTAAGTCAGCTCAAGCCCATCTAGTGAGCAGAACATGTAAGGCCTAGAATAATCAGGGGTAATAAAGAGGCAAGAATGACATCATGATTTCCCCAATAGTCCTAAGCCAGGTTCAGATTCTGAGTTGTGGTTTCAACCCACATCCATAGAAGTACTGATTTAGGTCAACATGTGTATTTATCCTTTAAAGGAAGTCTTTGTTCCCAGTAAGGATAAATATCCCACCAGTGCTATTTATTACAGGCTTTTGCAGCCTTTGGGAGATGATCCAGTCCCTTTCCTTATAAACTCTTCACCTCCTCTTTTAAAATGTTAATTGTATGACCATGGGTTTAAATTCTCTATTTTTTCCTGTAAAAATATACCAGCGTGGAGCCCCTGATATCAGCTCCCTCAATTGTTTAGTCTGCACCCTGACTAAAACTGTCCTCAAATGATTCTGAAATGCCGGCGGTGAGTCAAAGATGCTACAGCCGCACACAGGAAGGGTCTTGGGAGCAATAGCTAACCTGGAATCTATCTCAAATTTTTGCTTTCATCTCCCCACATGAGCACTTCTGTTTAATACACCATAATTTTCTCTAGAGCTATTCTTATCCCTGGATAATGGGAGGGCCTTTCAGCTTCAGCTGGAAGGTGATTTGGGGCCTCAAAAGACAGGACAGATATCTGCCTCCATAGTATTATAGCAAATTACTGCAATTTCTAGTTCCCCCTCTAATAATATGTTATTATACAAGTCTGGGGATTCTTCTATTAAATATTTGTGATTTTCCAGGCAGCCTGAGGGTGGCAGCAATGGACCTTTGGTCTCCAGACCAGCCTGGGAGCTGTCTTTAAGTAGCCACACACTTAGTCATTGCCCAGATGCTGGGGTGAAGCTGTGTTTGAAGCAACACATAGGCTGGATGTTGTGTTTTATAAATGTGGTGCTTGGACCAGGAAAACAAAAATGCAACCTCGGGGCTTCCCTGGTGGCGCAATGGTTAAGAATCCTCCTCCCAGTGCAGGGAACACGGGTTCGAGCCCTGGTCCAAGCCCTGGTCTGGGAAGATCCCACATGCCGTGGAGCAACTAAGCCTGTGAGCCACAACTACTGAGCCTGCGCTCTAGAGCCCGCGAACCAAAACTACTGAAGCCCGCACACCTAGAGCCCGTGTTCCGCAACAAGAGAAGCCACCACAATGAGAAGCCCGCGCACCACGAAGAGTAGACCCCACTCGCCGCAACTAGAGAAAGCCTGTGTGCAGCAACGAAGACCCAATTCAGCTAAAAATAAATAAATAAATAAATTTATTTTTAAAAGAAAATGCGGGTTTCCCTGGTGGTGCAGCGGTTGAGAGCCCGCCTGCCGATGCAGGGGACACGGGTTCGTGGCCCTGGTCCGGGAAGATCTCACATGCCGCTGAGCGGCTGGGCCCATGAGCCATGGCCACTGAGCATGCGCGTCCGGAGCCTGTGCTCCTCAACGGGAGAGGCCACAGCAGTAAGAGGCCCGCGTACTGCAAAAAAAATAAATAATAATGGTAATGGATATGTAACTATCAAGAAAATTAAGTCACCTAGAGCGGTGGGATAGGGAGGGTGGGAGGGAGACGCAAGAGGGAGGAGGTGTAGGGATATATGTATATGTATAGCTGATTCATTTTGTTATAAAGCAGAAACTAACACACCATTGTAAAGCAATTATACTCTAATAAAGATGTTAAAAAAGAAAGAAAATGAAGTATTTATAACCACAATGAAAAGCATAGGTGAGTCTCATAAAAATAATGTTGTGGGAAAGAAACGAGACATGAGTATGTAAAATTCAAAAAAACAAGCAAAATTAAACTACAGTATCAGAATGCACCCCTAGGTAGTAAAACATAAAGAAAAGCAAAGAAATGATTACCATACGTATCAGTATAGTAGTTACCTCTGGGTAGAAAGGAGACAATAGTGATAAGAAGGGGGAAAGGATTCTGGGATACTAGAAATATTCAATTCCTTGACCCAGGTGGTGGTTACATGGACGTTTACTTTGCGATAAATCATTCAGCCGTATATTTATATTTTGTATATTTTTCCTGCATGTTATATTGTATGAAAAAGATTTAGAAAAAAATAAATGTCCAAGAATAGCCAAAGCATTTTTTTTTAAATAACAAGGGAACGTTATTACAAAGTTTCAGTAATTAAGAGGATTGGTATGGGTGAAGCTAGGCAAATGAATAAATGGAAAAGAATAAAGAACCACACCCTACCCCCAAAATAACCCATGAATCTAAACTATCTGGGTATATAATAGAGGTGGCATTATAATCACTAGAGAACAAGAAGGAAGAGGCATCCTAGGATGTAATCTTGGGAAAGCCAACAGGAAGCAATCTTGTGAGACTTTCCTTGTAAACATTAAACTGGTTGAAATGTAAAACAAGGCTCGACTCCGCCCTTAGACATTCTGGGTAACAGGGGAAGGTTTCAGGTGTGTTTGTTGGCTCTTCCGGCCGCTAGGTGGCACCTGGAAGACCGCAGGCGCGTGGGGATGATTCATGCGCAGTGCTCTTAGGTTCAGCCGCAGGCCCTACGCTCGTGCACGTGGGTTTGCCCACAGCGTTGACCCTGTGCACAGCGCTCACGCACGCGCATTTACGTGCACGTCGCTGATCGCGCTGTACCGTTATTCCAGTTTTTCTGAGAGCGGCCGAGCTGACCCCGCGGTCCGGGATGTCCGAGCTGCCTGCAGACAGCAGTGTCCCACCGAAGGGCGCGGCGAATGACAACGGCGACGTCCCACAGGCGGAGGTAGGCGGCGGGAGGCGGGAGCCGGCCCCAGCGCAGCCTGTGGAGGCCAGGGACCGTCCGATGGCGGCGGCCAGGGAAGGTCCAGTGGCGGATGCCAGGGAAGGTCCGATGGCGGCGGCTAGGGAAGCCCGGATTGCAGAGGTTGCCCGATTGTTGGCGGAGCCAGCAGAGGAAGAGGGTCCTGAGGACAGACGCCAGACCAGGCCCGGGAACAGTCCAGGCCTGGCTGCGTTGCCGAATCTCCGCCTCCGTCACCCACTTGGCATTTTAGGAATTAATTATCAGCAGCTCCTCCGCCACTATCTGGAACACTACCCAATTGCTCCCGGCAGAATTCAGGAGCTTGAAGGACGCCGCAGGAGATTTGTGGAAGCTTGCAGAGCAAGGGAAGCAGCGTTTGATGCCGAATATCAGCGGAATCCTCAGAGGATGGATTTTGATATTTTAACATTTAGTATAACTCTGACTGCATCTGAAATTATCAATCCTCTGATAGAAGAACTTGGTTGTGATAAGTTTATCGGTAGAGAATAGTTTAGTGATGAAACTACTCCAAGAACCTCTGCGTTAAGTACAGTCATACCAATCCTGTAACTTGATTTTAAAAAGTCAAAGTATTTGAGAATAAGGCAAGGCACAGTTGAAAAAGAAAAGGAAGCTTATCAAGAAAAACCATCCGAAAAGAAACAGAAAAAAATAAAAACCGTTATGACTCCTCTAACGTCCTTTGAGTTTGTGATTGATCCAGATTGTTTTCCCTGCATTGTGGAAATGTCTTTTAAAATTGCTTCACTAAAGTGAAGAATGGTTTTATATAATTGAGACTTGATGAAGAAAAACTGCCAATAGAGCCCATAGTGTAAGATTGATTTTGTGTTTTCTGAGGCATTTCAAATGAAAGGCAAAGTAAATACTGGATATATTACATGATAAATTATGTATTCAAGACTATCAGAAATTTCTGGATTTTTTCTTTCATTCAATTTTTAATACTTTTTTGGTAAATAATCTTATGTATAAGCCCCCAAAATATAAAGTGTGCAATGAAAAGTCTTCTATCCCTTTCCCCCTGCCCACCCAGTACCTACCGCAATTCCCATCTGTAACCACAGTACCTCTTCTGTCTTTTCAGTTTCCCTATGTATAAACAAGCAAATACAAATCTGGGTGGGTTTTTTTTTCATTTCTTCACAAAAGTTGGCAAATTATATTTATTGATTTATGCATTGCATTTTCAGTAAGAACTTATCTTAAAGATCCTTCCAAACCACTACATTTCCTCATTCTTTTTTAGAGCTGCGTTTTATTCCATTCTGTGGTTATGTTGTAATTTACTTAACCAGGAACATACTGATGGCCATTTAGGTTTTTTCCCATCATTTTCTATTGGCCAAAAAAGTTGCTATAATAGGTAATCTTGTCTGTATATCCCATGGCATGGGCACAAATACAGCATTGCTCTGCTTCTAAATGCACTTTTCATATATTGACGTCTCTGAAATTGGGGTGTGTCTTACATTTGATTGTGTAATACAGCATTTTCATAAAAATAATGGTGCATATTATAATCATCAGCTTCTTAGATTCCTTGTTATGTATAATATCTTAGTACGAATTTCCAGAGGTGAGAATTCTGAGGTGAATGCACTCATGTGAAAGTTTATAGATATTACTAAGTTGCCTTCCATTCATGTTGTACCTCTTCACACTCCCACCAGCAACTGCTGAACATGGACATTTCCCCTGCAGCCTCATCAGCACAGTAAGTCATCAAGTGTCTGGATTTTGCCAGTCTATATAGTTGGAAAATGGTATATCAGTTTTAATTTGCTTTTCTCTCATTATGAGGGAAGTTAAATCTTTTCATTTGAATCATACATATTCCCTTTTCCATGAACTATCTATTCAAAATCTTTTCTCCATTTCTTTCCTGAATAATTTTGTCCTTTCTTTATTGACTCTGTTAACTATTAATGAAATAGTGAGATGAGATATGATAATAGCTTGTAATGTGAGTTATGGATATTTTTTCCTAGGTTGTCATTTGTCTTTGGTTTTCCTGAAAGCCTTTTGGCATGGAGATTTTTGCTCTTGTTTCCTTTTATCTTTTAAACCTGCAAGATTTGGGGAATTCCCTGGTGGTCCAGTGATTAGAACTCAGTGCTTTCACTGCCGGGGCACGGGTTTGATCCCTGGTTGGGGAACTGAGATTCTGCAAGCCGTGCAGCGTGGCCAAAAAAAAGAAAAGAGAAAAAACCTGCAAGATTTCGAAACTCAAGGTTTTCTCGGTGTGTGTGCACGTGTATGTATGTGTGTGGTTTTATTGTTCATATTTGAATTTTTGAACCATTCGGAATTTATCCTGATGTACAATATGAGGTAAGGATCCAAATTTTCTTTTTTAGGTGGCTCCCTGGCTGCCCCAACACCAGTTACTAACTAGCCCATCTTTTCCCCACTAACTTTGTTTAAAGATGCCTCTTCATCATATACTAAACTGTTTTTTTAAATTTTTCTAACTAGTTTTACATGTAATAATGCTAAAACCTCTCATTATACTTCATTTTCAGAGTGTTCTGGCTATTTTTGTTTATTTATATGACTACGTCAACCTCAAAGTCAGCTTACCTTATTTCAAAGTTCTTTATTAGAATCACATATTTAATAAATCAAAGATAACTGCCATCTCTAAGATATCCAAATTATTTATTTTTCCATTTTTTAAAGACTTCCTTTGTATCCTTCAGAAGAGTATTAATGTTTGTCCTTAAATTAGTGTTCCTAAAGTAGGTCTTTTACAGGTCTAATCATTTATTCCTAGGCATTTTATCTTTTATGTTTTTTCTATAGTAAATGAGGATTATCTCTGTTATATTCTCTAAAAGCTTGCCTGTGTATTTGAAAATAATTTATTTCTGCATATTTATTTGATGGCCTGTTAACATACTGAATTCTCTTACTGTTTTACAGTAGTTTTTCATTTGAATCTCCTAGATTGGGGAACAAGTCCTATGCAAATAATGACAGTATTGCCTCTTTTATAATTTTTATACTTCTGACTTCTTTCTCTTTATTTATACATTAGACAGAAGGTACTTTATTGGTACCTTCTTTCTAATGTAAAATAATATGAATGATAGTGAAGCATCATTAACTTGTCCTAATTTTGTAGAAATTCTTCACATATCCATCTCTCACTATTTGTACATGTGTGTGTTTTATCTAGAGTGGTTATAGAACTTTGTCAAAGGCCTTTTCATAATCCATGAAGGTGTTATTTTTATATCCACCACCATGATTGCATTCTTCAAATGATCCTTATTTACAAATGAGATATAGGGCTTCCCTGGTGGCGCAGTGGTTGAGAGTCCGCCTGCCAATGCAGGGGACACGGGTTCGTGCCCCGGTCTGGGAAGATCCCACATGCGTGGAGCGGCTGGGCCCGTGAGCCATGGCTGCTGATCCTGCACGTCCGGAGCCTGTGCTCCGCAACGGGAGAGGCCACAACAGTGAGAGGCCCGCGGACCGCAAAATAAAAAAAAAAAAAAAAAAAAAAAGAGAGAGATATAATCCTTTTTTTTTTTTTGCCTTACCAAGTGACTTGCAGGATCTTAGTTCCCCGACCAGGGATTGAACCTGGGCCCGGCAGTGAAAGCGCCAAGTCCTAACCACTGGACCGCCAGGGAATTCCCTTGGCCACTTCTTTGATTCCATTTCTATGAGACCTCCATGCGCATGAACTTTCTTTTTCTCCTGTTAATCTGTCTTGTGTCAATTTTATTATTAGTCCAGCCACAAGACCTCAAAATGGGTCCAAGGGAAAATTTCCCCCTCCCTGACAGTTCCTTCATACGTTTCCAATCAAATCCACTCACACAACAGACCCCTTCACTTTGGTAGACATGAGTGAAAATCTGGTGGGTCACAGGGCTGGGGTCATCCCTTGGAGGACAAGCCTCCCCACCTGGCTGGTTCCTTTCAACTTCTCCCCTTCCCTCCTCTTCACCTTTCATCTCAGGAGCAAAATCAAATCCTCTTCTTGTCTCTCAAAGCATTTTAAGGAGCCTCTTCTCTTGCTTGAACAATTTCAGCTGCAGTGTCAGCACGTACAGTGGCTTCTTCCCCAGAGTTTAGCCAAACTCCCCAGGTCAGGGACACAGTCCTCTGTTATAGACACCATAGCTCTAAGTTCAGGGGTCCCCAGGCCACTCGCACGTCTGACCAGCAGGCTACAAGTTTGAGGATTCCCAGTTCCCATGCAGTTTCAATAATTTGCTAAAAAAAAAAAAAAAAAAAAAGAACTCAAGAAAGCATTACAGTTATGATTATATTACAGCTATATTTTATATATATATATTTAATATATAAAGCTATATTTCATGATAGCAAAGGATACAAATCATAACCAGCTAAAGGGAAAGACGAGTAGGACCAAGTCTGGGAGAGTCCCAAACATGGTATTACTGCCATCCTCAGGGATGCATCATCCTTCGGCACATGCAGAGCATTTAACAACCAGGGACGCTCAACGAGCCCTGAAGTTAGGCCGAAATCGCGAGGCTTAAACCCTCTAAGACTCTCAGGGATGGCCCAAGGGGTTCCCCACACACACCAGTAACAAAGACACTCCTATTGTAATGGGGATGGGGCGGCCGTTACCCCGCGACAGTTACCGGGCAACTGTTGCCCTGTAAAGAACAGGTCCCTCGCATAGCTGCCTCTGGCGCTACAGTTACCAGGCAACCGTTACCGGGAGACCGTTAATGCTGGACCGTTAGAGCGAGACCGCTAGCCTGGCCGGTTAGAGGGCCCCTTCTGCCAGTCAGGCGGTTGGTGGTTCTCTGGGGAAAAGTGAGGTAAGAGGCGGATCCCGGCCTTCTCCCGGGGGCCCTCTAGGCACTCTGGCCTTGGGCCAGCAGGTGAGCTGGGGGGCTGGGGATAGGCTGGGGGCTGTGTCCTGCAGGGCTCCAGAGCCCTCGCCAAAGCCTCCCACTGGCCGGGCCCAGGCCTTGAGGCTGCGGTGAACCTCGCCCCCATCCCCACCTCTGCGACCTAATGGCAGCGGCAGTCTGCGTGGGATGCAGTTTGCGGGACCTGGCCCCCGCCGTTTGGGCGGCCTGAGGAGCCTGAGGGCTGGCTGGGTCCTAGGCGCCTGGCTCCCTCAGTGATGACAGCTGTGCAGGGTCTGGGGACCTGGTCCTGAGGGCACTGCCAGCTGAGATCTGCCTCTTCAGCCGGGAGGATCCAGACTGGGTGCCGGACGAACGCTCCTGGGCAGGGTAACTGGCCCCCGCAGGGACCCCCTCCTCTTAGCCAGGACCTGGACCTCGGAGGGTGAAAGTTGAGCCTTGGGGCCTTGCCCTTTCTTGTCAGAACAGAGAATAACATTTGTTGGGTGGAGATTTACAGGAACATCATTACCTGACCGTGACCTGACCTCAAGAACAAAGGATCTGACACCAAGAAATTTACAACTAACCACGCCCCTCCCTCACCATTGCTATAAAAGGGCTTTGCTGAAAGCTTTCAGGGAG